AAACCAGATCCTGTTGATATGGGAAGAAGATTTATATTAGTAAAGTAGAAGAGATTGACATAAATTAGGAGTATGATAAAAATGTGTCAGGAGTATTTTTACAGAATATGAATATAAAAAAATGGATAAAAAGAATAACATGATGGAATGTAAGATTTTATTACTTGGAATAACACGAGATTCGTAACATTAATTAATGTAAGAGACATAATATTCGTTGGTATAGATGATGCATTCCTGAAGTCAACTTTAAAATTTTCAAATATATTCCTTGGAACTTAGGTGTGATATTGGTCTGTATCAAATCAGGTGTTTTTATTTTTTTTCTTTTTTTTTTTTTTCAATTTGCACACTCTCAATAATCTCTCAAAATCTTTTAATAAATATCCACAGTCCCAAACGACTGTCAAACTACTATAAGTATGTTAAACAAGTTTAATTTATAATTCAATTGTTTAATTTGAAGAATTAACGAAGAATCCATGATTGCGAGTAGTTATTGCGAATATTTAATAGATTCTGTTGTGTTAAAACCAGAAATAAATTAATTTAGACATCATGATTCTTCTTCTTTATAACTTTGCCAAAATTTCTCAAAATTCAATTATAGTATGTATTAATTTCTTATCATATTTGCGGCAAACAAAATGTACCATTTTACATTCTCACGAAAGGTCATTCACATTTGAGATTGGGTATTTTAAATTTCACATTTGAAATTATCGGCATCAAGCGATTAAGATTTGTTCAATCGCCCCTTCCAAGTCAAATTCCTATCAATCCCAACAACCAAAATCCAAATTTCACTATCAAAAGATCATTAATCTTCCCCTTCAAAAGCTCCAACATTCTAGACCGAGTTTGCTCTTTGTTCGTTACGGAATATAAATTTAGATTGTAAAGTAGTATTAAAAATTTATGTGTCATTAGCCATTATTTGGAGAAGGAAAAAATGTACAACTCTTGAAATTTTTATAGAAGCAAGTACCCTTTGTAATTAATACGGGGTTTTCACAATGTTAGCTACTAATGCAATCTGCCCTCCTAATTAAATTGGGAGTTTAATGAGCATTTCTATAGCTAGATGGTTGACTTGGATACCCCCAAACATAGATGGCAATTTATTATAAACAACTTTGACATTTGCCCAACTAATTAAAATAATTATCAATTAAAAAAAAAAAAAGGAGTAGAGGTTGGCATGAAATGGAAGGGGAGAAAAACCATTAGCGGTCAACCATGATTCTTGGGGTATTACTCAAGAGGTTTGAGTTCGACTCTCCTGAGTTGTTATAGAGATGATTACTAAAGAGATTTACAGCCTATCAACTTCAGGATGCTGGAGATTAATGAGGTATGTATAAACTGGTTTAGACATCCCCGGTCATCAGAAAAGAAAAGGAGAAAACCGTAAAAAGAAAAGAAAAGAAAAGGAAGGGGAAATTGAGAGAAATCAGGGCGTGGGTGGGGGGCACAGGATTAACCCATGCAATTTGTTCCACAACTAGCCATCATCTTCATCACATATAATTATAATGTGAAATTTGTAACCAATTACTTGTAGGGTCACGCGCCTCACGCCACCAGGCTTCTTCATACGTCCCTCTCTGCACACCCTCCCAGTCCCCACCCACTATATTTATAATAAAATTATATTATTTAACTATAAATTAAAACTATCTCTAAATAAAAATTATTAATTAAACGTATAAATGACGTCAGGAGGTTGTGCAGAAAATACAGGCAGAAGAAGAAGAATGTTATGATAACTATGGGTTTAAGGGGACAAAAGGGGTCCCATTCACCACTTTGATATCTGTACACATCAGCAATCATCTCCTTCATCTATATACATCAGTATTCTATTATTTATTTATGTATTGGGTATTTTCGTATTTTGACTACCCATTGACTCTATCACTCCTTTGTCTTTTCCTTGAAATTATATTCTCCACGCGCCCTTTTTTGCGTGACAAATAATAAACGTCTCCCGCTTATCATTCTATATTTGAGTTCATTTGCATTGCTTTTACTTCTTTTTTAATTCTTTTTCAATCATTGCAACAAAATATTTAATAGAAAACACTAAAAAAAATCTAGATGAAATTAAATATTTCTAGTGTTTTTTATTACCTATAATAAAGAGAGAAAAAAAAGAATTATTAGAAATTTATAGATTATTAAGTTCAAATTCAAATATTTTGAATTAATATTCAAATAAGAAAATCAATTTACTTTTGTAATTAGCACAATAAATAATAAAATACGAAATTCAAATATATAAAAAATAAAAGAAAAAAGTGGACCAGAGAAGCGCATGCTTTGAAAGAGGACGAAGCACTAGCAGGCGCCAGGTGGGCGCTGTGGAGAAGCATGCAAATGTAAAGCAGGTTGCAAAAGAAACTATTAATTCCAGAAATGCCCTCAAGAAGTTAACTGGACATACGTACCCTTTCCTTTTTAGACCCAAAGAACTTTAAATTCTGTTTCTCCTGTTATTTAGTCTTCTTCTTTTCTTTTTTATTTATTTATTTATTATATTTGTTTTCCAAAAATATAATAGTAATAATAAACTTTTACTTTTCTTCTACTCTCTTTGTTTGTTATATTATCTAGTTCATATTACTTAACGCAAACATTCTGTTGAAAATGATAGTATGGTACATCTTTATATTTGGCGGATAGAATAAGACCAAAGGTTTTTGTCTCTACTTTTAATACCAATTGTCTTCACCTTAATATATATATTTTTATTTTTATATAATTTTTTTATGTAAACTTCGTTAGTGAAGGTAATAATCTAATGCTAAAAAACGTTAAAACTAAGAAAATTTATGTATAACCTCCTTGCAGTCGAATAGCAACCTTTTAACCACTAGATTAGTTATATCCAAAGAGTATTATATCGAGTTACAGAGAAGTAATCATCTACTTTGCGATTAACTTGATTATTGAGCTTATAAGATATTCTATATCCTGATAATTAGACAAACTCTAACGTATGTCTGGATACATCACGTTACCTAAAAAAAAGAAAATGTTGTATTATATATATATTTTATTGAGATATACTTTTTGAGTCGTTTATTTGAATTTATAAAAAGGGAATTGCTGATAAAAGTTGTATCTATCTATAATACAATACAATACAACAAAATATAAAAAATCGAATCTCTTAAACTATCAATAATTTATATAAGAAATTTATATAAATATAATAAATAAAGTAAAAAAGGGCTTTTTTAAATTTTTTTTTTTTTTGTGGGTAATGAACATAATAATTGTCTTTTTCAATTGGAGAGATGGCTGAGTGGATTAAAGCGGCGGATTGTAATCGTGTACAAATTATTCATACTGAGGGTTTGAATCCCTCTCTTCCGTTTCCGTCAATGATTGGTATCTTTCAAATTTATATATTATATATATATGTTTTTGTTATTAATATTAGTAACAAAGATCTAGATTTTAATGTCTTACGAATGTGTACATTTTTCTTATAATAATCTAACGATATTAAGCATACATAAAAAGGATCTTATATATATTAACGGTATTATACATATTATATTATAGTTTGAAATGAATTAAGTATGATGTTAGAGTTGATTAGCATGAAATAATGAATTCCCCCGCCCACCGATGGGCCTATTGACAAAGAAAGACATGAAATTAGTTATTTTTTTTTTATTTCAAAAAAAAAAAAGAAAAAAAAAGGAGATGTTAGGTGGAGGTATTAAGGGAAAACCCAGATGTTAATAAGGATGATTGTGTCTGAAGCTACTTTAACCTTATCTTCACAAATACTTTACCAACCACATTAATGATACAAAGTAATTGCTCCTCATCACCATCATCATCCCTTTGCCTTTCCGCAAGTCAAACTAACCCTAATAATAATAATTTATTATTTACTATATTATATATTTAAAAACACATTTTAATTCTCTTAAGCAATTATTTATTTAATGAATAATTAATTCATTTCATCTACCCCACAAATTGCATGCCTTTAACTCAGGAACATTTTGGATCTTTTCATTTCAAATCTGGCGCGCCAATTTGTTGATATAATATCACTGCATATTCAGAGTATTTAATTTCAAGTTTCATGTGTTGGCGTTATATAACTATATTCTATTTGTACAAAATCCCATATTGATTTTCTGAAAGGGACTCTTTATTATCAATAAATGTTAGGTTTATTTTTTTTTCTTCATTAAATAAACCCTTTTATGATTATGAATTATACGATCAATATTACAAATTTGAACTACCTTGGATTATCCAATGGTCAATTAAGACTCTACAAACTGGTTTGACTATTTTCGGTCACCAAAAAAAAAAAAAAAGGGTCTTATATTAATTTATATTTTAATTTTGTGTCATTAAAGAAGTTAATTAAACAAATGGAATCCTTAAAACTAATCAAACGGCTATAATCAGCAATCAAAGTGTCCTCTAGATAAATACAAAATGTCTCAAAATAACAACACCATTAAAGTATTCAATTTCAATGATTTGTAATATGTATATTTTAAAATCTCTAGCTACCAAAGTACCTGGGCAGAATGTGGGTGACTGCTGCCCATCAAAGAATGTAGTGGTCCATAATCACCTGACCTGACCCTGTAAATTGAAGAAAATAATAATTTAAAAAAGAGTTTTTGAATACGGTGGGAAATTGAAAAAAAAAAAAAAAAAACTTTCTTGGATCCTGTGAATAACAGGGGGGGGATGAGTTACGCCTATATTTAATCAAATTGTTGAGGCAAAGATAAAGGAAACAAGATTAATGATGAAAAGTGGGGGCAAAAGAAAAGGAAAAAGAAATCTAAGAAACCAAAAGTATAGATGGATAGCAGACAAAGGTAAAATACTTGAAGAACTCAGAAAAAGAAAATTATATACAAATAGTAAGTAGCCCAAATATTTGAAGAAGAAAGAAAAGAATGAATGTAGAGGAAGAGGGGATGACAGAGATTCACCATTGAAGCCATGCCCACTGAAACAAAACAATAATAATGATGAAACATCCTCTGCACCCAGCACCCCAAAAAAGCATAATCATCTCTCTCCATCAAAACCTTCCTTCCCTTAAATTTACATCTCTTAACACCACACAATTCTCATTCTCTTCCATCATCCCCATTCCCCAATAGCCATGAAACCTCTTTTTCTTATTTTCTTTCTTCTCTATTCCTCACCCTTACTTGTCTTCTCTGTTGATCCTCCTTCTCCGCAACTCATTTCTCTTCTATCCATTAAATCTTCTCTTCACGATCCTTACAATACTTTCCAAGACTGGTACCTTTCTCCCTCCTCTAAGCCTAATTCGCAAAACCCAGTTTGGTGTTCATGGTCTGGTATCAAATGCAACGCCAAAACTTCTCAAATCATTTCGCTTGACCTCTCGCGCCGTTCGCTTTCGGGTGTTATTCCTCCTCAAATCAGCAACTTAACCAGCTTAATCCACTTGAATTTGAGTGCAAATGACTTCGATGGACCTCTCCAGTCGGTGATTTTCGAGCTACCTGAGCTGAGAACAATCGATATCAGTCACAACTACTTCAACTCTACTTTCCCACCTGGAATCTCCAAGCTCAAGTCTTTGAGAATCTTCAATGCTTACAGTAACAATTTCACTGGTCTACTACCCACAGAGTTTGTTCAGTTAAGGTTTCTCGAACATCTCAACCTCGGAGGAAGCTACTTTAACGGAGAAATTCCAGCTGATTATGGTAGTTTTCCAAGACTAAACTTTCTAGATTTAGCTGGAAATCTTTTAAATGGATCATTGCCAGCCGAGTTAGGGTCCTTGACTCAACTCCAGAGGTTGGAGATTGGATACAATAACTTAATTCAAGGCGAGCTTCCAGTGGAGCTCGCATTGCTGTCAAATCTCAAGTACTTGGACATCTCAAATTGCGATCTCTCAGGTTCTTTAAAACCTGAGCTTGGTAACTTGACTAAGCTTGAAAAGTTGTTGCTGTTCGGTAACCATTTCAGCGGCGAAATCCCGCTGAGCTACACCAACTTGAAAGCTTTACAAGTTCTCGATTTATCTAATAATCAACTCTCGGGCCCAATCCCGGAAGGACTATCTTCTTTAAAAGCACTATCCAGGTTGAGTCTAATGAACAATGCGTTAACCGGCGACATACCGGAAGGAATCGGCGAGCTGCCAGAATTAGACACGTTGTCTTTATGGAACAATTCATTAACAGGAATTCTTCCGCAAAAACTCGGCTCAAATGGAAAGTTGCTCACAGTTGACGTGTCTTCAAACTCACTCACGGGAACAATCCCACCAACTCTTTGTCAAGGCAACAGGTTATTCAAACTCCTCCTTTTCTCCAACCGCTTCACAAATAATCTTCCAGGAAGCCTCGTCAACTGCACCACTCTGTCAAGAGTCCGAATCCAAGATAATCAACTCAATGGCTCCATTCCGTATGGTCTCGGTCTCTTGCCCAACTTAACCTTCATGGATTTGAGTAACAACTTCTTCAGTGGCGAAATCCCTCAGGATCTCGGCAATGCACCGCGGCTCGAGTACTTAAACATCTCTGACAATTCCTTCCAAACAAGTTTGCCCAGTAACATCTGGAGCGCGCCCAATTTGAAGATTTTATCGGCAAGTTCAAGTCAACTTATCGGAAAGATTCCGGATTTTATCGGGTGTAAGAGTATATACAGGATCGAGTTACATAACAACTCCCTTAATGGCAGCATTCCTTGGGATATCGGCCACTGTGAGAAGCTTCTTTCATTAAACTTAAGCAGAAATTCGCTTACTGGTATTATTCCATGGGAGATTTCAACGCTTCCTTCAATCACAGACGTTGATCTTTCTCATAATCTTCTCACCGGTACTATTCCTTCGAATTTCGAAAACTGTAGCACGCTGGAGACTTTTAACGTGTCTTATAATTTGTTAACGGGACCGATACCGGCTTCAGGTCCGATATTCCTAAATCTTCATCCCTCCTCATTTGTTGGAAATGACGGACTCTGTGGCCGAATTTTAACCAAGCCGTGTCCCGCTGACACGTTGGATGCAGCCAACATGGCGGTACGTAATCATCAGCAGCAGCCGAAAAAGACGGCCGGGGCCATCGTTTGGATCATGGCCGCCGCCTTCGGTATTGGGCTGTTTGTTCTCGTCGCTGGGACCCGCTGCTTCCACGCAAATTACAGCCGTAGGTTTAATAATGATAGAGAAATCGGACCGTGGAAATTAACCGCCTTCCAGAGGTTAAATTTCACGGCGGATGACGTGTTGGAGTGTCTGTCTATGACGGATAAGATTCTAGGGATGGGGTCCACGGGTACTGTTTATAAAGCTGAAATGCCAGGTGGCGAGATCATAGCCGTGAAGAAGTTGTGGGGTAAACATAAGGAGCATATCAGGCGGAGGAGAGGAGTGTTGGCTGAGGTGGACGTGTTAGGAAACGTGAGGCACAGAAACATAGTGAGATTGTTAGGGTGCTGCAGCAACAGGGAGTGCACGATGCTGCTGTACGAGTACATGCCCAACGGAAATTTAGACGATTTGTTGCACGGGAAAAACAAGGGAGAAAATCTGGTTGCTGATTGGGTAACGAGGTACAAGATTGCACTGGGAGTGGCTCAGGGGATTTGCTATCTTCACCATGACTGTGATCCTGTCATTGTTCACCGTGATCTGAAACCCAGTAACATTCTTCTGGACGGTGAGATGGAGGCTCGAGTGGCCGATTTCGGCGTGGCAAAGTTGATCCAAAGTGATGAGTCCATGTCCGTCATTGCCGGCTCCTATGGCTACATTGCGCCAGGTACGTTTAGTTTTTGCTATCATGCGCATATTCAAATTTTTATTTTATTAATTAGATTAATATGTTTGTATGTTTGTGCATTAATTGGCTGCTTGCTGTCCTTTTTGTCTTGACCAAAATTGGGTATTGGATCAATCCCATCTTATTATTCTCTCTTGTTAGATTTGTTAGTTAAATAAATAGTTTTAATTTGTGATAATGACAAAATTTCCGGCTCTAAAGTATAAAGATTTACCTTCTCTTTTTTAGAGATATCAATCTTCATTGTTTGTGTTATTTGGTACAAGTCAAAGACTATTCAAAGGATTTTTTTTTTTTTTTTTAATATAATCCAAAAATAAAATTGTTTTTTCTATCTAAAAATACTATAAAAATTCAAAACAAAGCGGAATGGACATGGACATGGGGTTCCTGTTCTTTTTTACTTGAATGGTTAATACTACAGTGCCGCAGGAGGGGGAACGAAAACAAAAAGTTATGGCGGGTTGAGTGCGATAGCGCAATAGCAGTAATCCAAAAATCTTCTTTAATTTACCATCTTTTGAAGCCGTGCTGGTATGGCAACTGCTTGAGTGGGGGGTGATCCACTATTAGCGTATGCACTCACTCAACTTTCTTATCTTTTACCTTTTTCTTTTTCAAGTCGTTTTTCCAAGATTACCTAATAATCGGACCCCACCATCAAAATTGACCGTGATATATCTTTATCATCATGATTTGACTTTATCATGCTCATTTTTGGGATTTGCAGATATGCTTACACACTTCAAGTTGATGAGAAGAGTGATTTTACAGCTACGGCGTCGTGTTAATGGAGATTTTAAGCGGTAAGAGATCGGTTGATGCGGAATTTGGAGACGGTAACAGTATCGTGGATTGGGTGAGGTCAAAGATCAAGAGCAAGGATGGAATAATGACATTTTGGACAAGAATGCCGGGGCTTCTCTCGCATCGGTTAGAGAGGGAATGTGCAAATGCTTAGAATGCATTACTATGCACTAGCCGGAATCGGCGCGGACCGCCGTCTATGAGAGATGTGATGTTGATGCTGCAGGGAGCCAAGCCCAGAGAAAATTGCTCGGAAGTATAGTTGGCGGTGATGTTGTGATTAGCGTGGGTGAAAATGATGATATTTCTGTTCAAAAACTACAGTAGAATGTAATGGGATTAACCTTACGAGTTAGTGTTTTTTTTTTTTTTTGTTTTTCTTTTTTGGGGTTAATTTTCCAATGGTGGGGATTGGTATAGGAGAAGTGAATTTTCTTTTTCTATTTTAATTTTCTTTTTCTATTTTCAATGGAATTTTCTCAAGTGTCTCTATATTATGGTGTTAGATTGGGTTATGAATTTGGAATGTGTTAGTGCTTAATGGTGTGGGTTATAGATTTGGAGCAATCTTTAAAAGAAGAAAACTAGACATTAAAAACATTCAATACCCAGCTCATGAACCCAAGCCCTTTTTAGGCCAACTGTCTGAACCTGATAATAACTCATTTCATTTCTAGTTGGGTAATACTACATTTATAACTCAATTTCATAAATTTTGCTCTCACAATCCCAACATGGTAGCTTGCAATTGGTCGTAGTGGGTCTCGCCCGCTAAATTACGAACTGTCACGTAAGGATTGTGAAAGAAAGTTTGTAAGATTATGTTGTGAGCCAATTTTTATTGTTTTCAAAATATAGCTCGCTGTAATCGGGCAATAGATGAATTTATTCAATTTCATATTCACTGCATTTCCTAATGGCTACAACTTATTTGTGTTTATATAATACACACTACAATTTACATACATATCTCTTCTCTCATCTCATCAACTTAAATTCTCTATCTTCCTTCTGATTTTGAATCAACAATTCTCATATCATGTGAACAGTAGCTTTTCCTTGACTCCGTCGTCGATTGGACAAGATGTACTCTTAAATATTTCTCTGTTTCCTGTCAAAACATATTCATCCTATGTTAAAACCCAAGTTGTCCTGGTCTTTTGAGTTTGTAAGGTATTTAATGAGCCTAAAAAATTAGTTGATGTATACGTATGCTGACCCAAATACCTTGGTTACCAAAAAAAAAAAAAACCCCAAGTTACTTCATATACTTATGTCCATTTAATAGATGAAATGGGTATCTTTCTAATCGTAACATTTATTATTATTTTCCCCAACTTTTCACATTCAATTCAAAAGCTTAAGGAGCGACAAGTCGTCCAGATTAAATACGTTTGAGAGACTAGTCGTTCAGATTAAACAACTCCCTCGACCTCAACTCAACAGGGCTGAGATTTGTCCTCACGGTCATAGGTGATTCACTGAATGGGGGCTAAGCTGAAGTGTTGAACAAAATCCAGTTCAGATTGGGCTTTGGGCTTTTATTATTTCTTTGAAATGTTGCTCATTGTACCCCCATGAAGTAGAAGAAAAATACTTGGGGCATTTAGCAATATTCTAAGCAATTACCAGTTAACTTGTTGCAAGGCCCTTTTTTTTTATTTATTTATTAGAGTGTCTGCAGTTTATGTGAACCTCGACTAGGCTCCCAACCTCAAACAAGGCTTTCGAAACAAACCAAGTCTTGTGGTCCGTGACTAACAATATTAGCAATCGTTCTTGTGATTTAAACTTAAGACTACAGGGGGAACAAACCCCTTGACCCCAAGTCTTTACCGCTCGGCCAACCCATTGTTAGGTAAACTTGTTGTAAGCCTTGTCAACTACAACCCAATATTTCTAAGCAATTACCACCCCTACAACGAAAGACTCAAAAAACTAGCTCAACTTATAGTTGTGGGTGTTTTCCAATTCAAGTGTATTTACTATAAATCTAGCTGAGGATTGAATCCAAATTGTTAGTGTTTTAATGTTATTTAGAGGTTTCAGAATGTCGAAACATATGTACAAAAATATTAAAAATAAGGGGAAAAAAAAGAAAGAAGTGTATTGAAATGCTCACCATTAAAGATGGAACCAAGGGGAAAATGGTATCTAATTCTTTCAAATACTCTTCTTCTCCTTCCGCTGTGGTTATAAGCTCCGTCAGCATATACAGCATTTTCTCAGCCTGACCAAAAAATGTTCAACACTATCAATTTTACATGGCTTCATCACCCTACTATTGGTCCATGCAATTTAAAACCAACCCAGCTGATCACTAACCGGAATTGTTTCAATCAATTTGCTAATATAGAAAGAAAAAATTGAACCTGTGGAAGGAATCTTTTTACAGTTTCTTCTATGCCATCCATGACTGCCAAGGCCTTGTTCATTGCGTCGTATACAGACTCCACGTCTGCCTGTAGACATATCAATTTGTTATCAATTACTACCAGCCTTAATTAAATTCTAATACTAGAAAAAATATAAGACATTGGAATGTGAGAATATGTGTTGATTAACCACCACTAAAGTGGTCTGATGGTAAAAGAATAGAATGAGATTTCATGAGCTCGTAAATTCGAATCCTCCTAAACACTAATATGGGTGGTAATTGAAGTTTTTATTCGGTCAATAGTTCCAAGACCCTTGGAAATTAACGTAGTAGGCATAAGTTTTAAGGGAAACAATTAAAAAAGAAAATATATAGAAATATACCTTCGCATCTTCAAAAGGGACCTTGACAGACAATGCTGATAGTTTTCTTGTAACCCGGCTCACTGCTTCACAATTTTTTCCATCCAACTGTGACCATTCATTTAGAAGTCGAATTTGTGGATTCAGAATTTGACATAATTTTATCTCGTATTTAAGTTTTTGTACTTGAATTCTCTTTTGTAAGATGGAATTTCTCATTTTTAACACTCTAACCCACCCGGAAAAAAGTCTACCCTGCAACATTCATAACCAAAATCATGCAATTAACGTCAATATAACATTATTGTACCGGAATCTTCACCATAAATTATTCATTTGATACGCAATTTGAGTTTTTGTAGAGATAAGAAGAGATACAATTCTAAAACTAGAACTATTAAAAATGATTAATTAAAAAGAAAAAGGTCATAAACTTTTACCTCTGAAACATTCTTTAGAGAAGCCATGGAAACCTCAGCTCTAGCATTGGCAAACCTGTAAAGTACCAACGTATTATGCAGAACTCGAAATCTATTATACTCTCCTTCTTGAACTGGTGACACCTTCTTCTGTCTAAAATACTTCAAAACCCCACTTACACCACCAACGGCACTGGACTTGGCCCTCCGTGTCTCGGCAGGCACCGGTGCCAGCGCCGGTCTCGGCGACTCCGGTGCTACCAAGTACGGCGAAGACCGTCCCGGCGACAACGCCCACGCCGACGGAGAACTCTTGACTGATTTAGTACTCTTAATCTTAGCTGCACTAGAACAAATAGCACTGTTATTATTACGTGGAATGCCTCGTTGCAGAAACCTAACGAAACCATCTTTGTTCATGTCGTTACTCTCTTTAGTCTTCTTTTGTTGCATGCTTGCTAGAATAGTTGAAGGGTGGACATACTCTTCGTTTTTCTGCTGCTGGGACGTTGAGGTTCTTGATCTTGTGGTTGATTTTGATCTGTTCAGGGAGTTTAGGCTACTATTATTACATGTGCGGCTTTGTTCAAGTGGAGAAATGGCCGGAGCTCCGCTGCGGCTGCGCTGTAGGCGTGGCGAAGGCGGTGTTGGAGTGGTAGGTCGGAGCCGGCATGTGTGAGTGGTTTCCATTTTGTTATGGTGAATTATATTATTTTTGGAGGTTGGAATTATATATGTATTGAGATTGTTTTTGAAGAATTAATACTGGGGGGGTGTTGGGTGCAGGATTTATAAAAAGTTTATTAGGGTTTAAAAAAGAACTTAGGAGTTGTTGAGAGCACGTTGAGGTTGAGCCGATCAAATTGATGGGTTGATTATTCCTTCATTTCTCATGTCAAGGCTTTCACGTACAGTGGAGGAATATGAATATAATAGTATATATGAGATTGGTGTTGGAGTTATTATTTTATTCACGATAGAATTATAATTTAATCACAGGCAGTCAGACAATAAGAAATACTTAATTAATATTAGAGAAATTTGGTTGAAAAAAGGCGTATTTGTGTTTCAATATTGTATTAAAGAAAAAATTTTTTCGTCCATAATGTACATGCATTGCACCATAAGAATTTTTGAGAGTTGAATTGTACTAATAGTAGTCTGATTAAATTAGGGAAGCATTTTTCAGGTCAACTATATACGGGTGCAGCTTCCACGTAAGAGTAGGTATAGCATCGAAATAATAAGGGTTACTATTCCTCACCTCCTCTAAAGTTTGCATTTGTTTAGTAACACCCACAAGTATAAAATAGCATCTCATACCTCTCCTCAGATTTCAATAATTCTATTAAACCTACCCTACACGGTTTTAAAACACGGTCTGGCTTGGCCCGACTGGTTCAACTAGGACCTAGGACCTTCACTGGGGCGGGTTATCTATTTTACTATTCATCGAAAACCTTAGAAATTAGAAAAACGATTGATGCACAATTAAAGGCTGTGATGTTGAAACTTTTGAAGATGAAGGGTCAGTGAGTGGAAATGTGGCGATAGAGATGATTTTCGAAGAGTGAAACGATTGGAAATCGCAAAAATAAATCGGGTTATTGCCGACGATTGGCGAGGCGAACGAGGGTGGGATGAGATAGGTTTGGTCAGAAGGTTGAGGGGAGAGTTTTGTGGTGATGGGGTGTATTGTTGATGTCGAAAGCAAGCCCTATTTGGCCTAGATTTTCAACGCCAGCAATGTAATTAGGGGTGTTTTTTAAATATTTCAAACATGTAGGGACTTATGGAAATTTTTAGGGGTATTTTTGTTAGATTTTAAATTTTTTTACATGTTGACGTCACTGGTTTGACCCGCCGATCAAAACGGTTCAACCGAAAAACCCGAGACCCAACCACTTTGCCAAGTTTCACCCTGGGCCTAGTTTTAAAACCTTGCTTCTCTATCCACCATTTGTTGAAAAAATATGTTAAGGAAAACGTCCTGTAAGCCCCCTAAGTATATAAATATTTTAAGTATCCCCTTAGAGTGTAATTGTATTTATTTATTTATTTATTTTTTATTTTAGTGCAATTAAGGTTAAATAAGGTATGTAATTGCTTTTGGAGTTGAGAACAACTTGATTTTATTGCAGGGGTTGAAGAAATTTCAAATATCCAAGGAGTCGAATACTTTTTCTTGCCACCTCTTGAAATGAGCTCCGGCAAAAGGCTCAATTTTGGAGATGTCAGGAAGTGATTTGGTAGTGAGAATTGCAGCGTCCATCTTGGAAAATTTATGATCTTAAGATTGTTGGAATTTAATAATAAAATTGGCAGCAAAACAACAACAACAAACCAGTGAAAGAACAGTAATGAAACAGCAGAAGAACAGCAATGAAACAGCAGACAAATAGCAAGAGAAATCGCAGAAAAATAGCAGCAAAACAGTAAAAGAACAACAATGAAACAGTAGAAAAATAGTAAGAGGATAGCAGGAAAATAGCAGTAAGAATGGCAGGGAGACAACAACAAAACAGCAGTGAAACAACAACGAACATAGCAGCAAAATAGCAGCAAGACAGTATCATCAAGGCGTGCAAAAGCACTCTCCTTAAGATCAGAATTCCGCCCCTACTGAAAGAATCTTCGTGGTGCAAAAAGGCTCAATAGCGGATTGACTTCCAGGATACAATGACGAATCTCCTTTTACAGTGCACACTCTAATAGAGATTTAGAACAATATAAGGAAAAGTAACAGTGGTGAAGGAGAGCTGGAAAGTTAAAAAACACAGAGGAAACAAGGATTTTTCAAGTGAAAAATTGTGTTCTTCAAATGAGAAAACCACCCTTTTTTGTACTTGAAAATCTGCCCGTTTTCCCTTAACTCATTCTTGCTATAATAGAAGTCAATCAATTGTTTTTAAAACCATAACTGCCCAAGAATGATTTGAATTGCAATAACTTGGAACAATTCAATTGCTTTTAATACATAACAGTCCAAAAAGCAATATTCAATTGCTTTTAACACATAACAGTTCAAAAGCAATTAAAATTTCAATTGCTTTTAACACATAACAGTCCAAAAGCAATTAAAATTTCAATTGCTTTTAACACATAACAGTCCAAAAGCAATTAAAATTTGGTATTTTGAAATATCATAACAGCAGCTTTTATCACACTAGGACCTTCATTGTGGCGGGTTATCCATTTTTGCGATTCATCGAAAATCCTAGAAATTAAGACTGTGATGTTGAGACTTTTGAAGATGAAGGGTCGGTGAGTGGAGATGTGGCGATAGAGATGATTTTCGAAGGGTGAAACAATTGGAAATCACAAAAATAAACCGGGTTGTTGTCGGCGATTGGTGAGGCAAACGAGGGTCTGATGAGATGGGTTTTGGTCAGAAGGTTGAGGGGAGAGTTTTTGTGGTGATGGGGTGTGTTGTTGATGTCGGAAGCAGGCCCTATTTGGCCTGGATTTTCGATGCCAGCAATGTAATTAGGGGTGTTTTTTAAATATTTCAAACATGTAGGGACTCATAAAAATTTTTAAGGGTATTTTTGTTAGATTTTAAACTTTTTTACATGTTGACGTCACTGGTTTGACCCGCCGATCAAAACGGTTCAATCGAAAAACCAGACCCAACCACTTTGCTAGGTTTCACCCCGGGCCTAGTTTTAAAACCTTGCTTCCCTATCCACCATTTGTTGAAAAAACATGTTAAGGAAAAAGTCTTGTAAGCTCCCCAAGTATATAAATATTTTAAATATCCCCTTAGAGTGTAATCGTATTTATTTTTTTATTTTAGTGCAATTAAGGTTAAATAAGGTATGTAATTGCTTTTGGAATTGAGAACAACTTGATTTTATTGCAGGGGTTGAAGAAATTTCAAATATCTAAGGGAACTTTGTAATCTAGAGATATGTAAGGGGGTTTAAATAATTTTCTTTTAAGAAAAATACAATACACCCCACTGATTCTGCTGCCAAACTATGGAGAGAGGAGAGGTTTGGGAGAATTTTTTAAATCTAAGGGGAGGTAAGGGATATTATTTTTAACTTATGGGGTGTCACCAAAAGCGCAAACATAATGGGAGGTGAGGGTGGAGTAACCCAAATAATAATATGATGTTAATTTGAGGCCGGCCCTAACTCTGACTCAAATTTGGCATCTAGCATGGTTTATAAGAGATCGAGGAGAGCACCGAGGATTATGCCACACTCATCCACAACATAAGAGGCCAAATTTTCATCTTCCTACCGATCTATCATCTTCGAACCATTTTTTCGAGTAAAACAAAATAGTAAATTAGGCATAAACATAAGAGGCCACAAGATTGCAAAAATTTCTACTAGATTTGCGCCTAAGATGATGTAGTTAAATCTTGAACCACAATCTCAATTAATTAATCCTACCTAATGAACACACGTAAATAAACATATTAATCTCATCGGTTCACAACGTTGTAAAATTCTTTTTTGGTGCATAGAAATTGATAATTTACTGAAACTCAACATTTTTTTTTTTGGGTAACCAAGATGTTCAGACCAATTTGTGCGCACCTCAACAAATCTCCAGGGTTCATTAAACACTCTACAAGCCTAAAGGACTGTGTAAACTACAATATTATTGTGGTATGTGTCCTTTGAACATAGGAACTCAAGAAAGGGAATAAACCTCTTGACCACCAGGCTAATCCCTTGGGGTTCCCAGCATCAATTTCTCCTCTTATTGAACAACTCTTAATTAGCTAGGTATAATTTTTTTAAAAGTCTTAATTAATTTACGGATAGTTTTGCTCCATTGGTCGGACTTCACTTTAGAGTTTTAGAGAAACCAAACAAAGAAGCAATCTAAATTGGAAAAGTTATAAATAATTTGAAAGGAAATATATATATATATATATATGGCTTATTGACTTCTTCACCAACTATACAAACCATATATAGGCAGTGATGACAGATAAGAGCTAATCTTGTATTTATCCAAACAGAAACTGTTTTTAATGTATTTATTCTCTTTATAATTTCATAAAAAGAGAGAGAAAAACAAGGATAATCAGTTAAGAGCTGTACATATGCCAAAAGAGGGTGCCTTCAATGTAACTTATTTCCCTGAAACTCCTATATGCAACAAAGAAAACTCATCATCTTTATTGAGATTAATGGCAATATTAAAATGTAATTAAATGGGCATATATAATTCCTGTTATCTCCATTTATAGGTGCAACTATTTAATTTTTTTACAGAACTGAAGAGCCCCTTTTTGACCAACTAATTAAAGAGACCTAAACCTTTTGTACATACAATGGATATTACCAATTTACCAGATTCATTAAGCTCATGCAGCCATTGATTCAAAATAATAATAATAATAAAATACTAAACTGTGTTTCAAATTTGCTACAAGAACCAAGTATACATACAAAATTATAAGCCCTATAATTTGTTTGAATCAACACTTAATTCTTCATCAGCTAAACTTGACTTACTTCACTATCATCTTCTGGCGCTGGTAAATTAAGATCTAAAAGCTTTTCACCAGATTTAGTTAAGTAAGTGAAGTGAACTTTCTTGTGTCCACCGAGCGCTTGACCAGACTCAAACACTTTTTCACAAACTGTACACTTAAAAACTCTTGGATTTAAAAGAGTAACATCATCTTCAAGTGATCCCTTTATAAGATGAGTTTTGATCTTCTTGTGACTTGCTTTATGTCCTCCTAGTGCTTGATAAGATCGAAACCCTTTCTTGCATGTATTACACTTATACTTATTGCTATTAGTACTTAACGCCTGATGAACACGAGGAGTTACACAAAACGATTCATCCTCATCAGTACTATCACTTTCATCTTCACCTATGTATTTATGATGATTCACTTTTACTTTGTCTTCTTCTGGTTCAGGCCATTTATCCCTTGAAAGCATTAAAAGACAAATTGCAACTTCTTCTACAGTAAAATTTTCAGTAACTGAACTTACCGATTCTGGCTTAGATGGGTGTGGCCCAACCACTTCCAGCACCGCTTTTCGCCGCCTTTTAGATCTTCTCTTTGTTGGGTTTCTGGATGACTCAGCCTCGGCCTCAGCCTCGCTTTCTCCATCATCACGCATAACAACATCGGAGTGATCACGGTTAACAGATCGATAGGTTTGCATGTGATCTTTGAATGAGTGAATACTCAAGGAAGAAGATGGAGATGGAGACTTGAGAGTAAAAACAGGAGAAGGGTGAATATTATTAGGTTTTGGAGGAATAGGAAGTTTGGTTAAATGAGATCTCATGTGACCTCCCATGGCTTTGCCATTAGCAAAACGTCTGTTACAGATCTTGCAGATTCTATGTTTGTCCATGGATTGAGATCAAACGTACGTAAACAAACAGACTATACCTCTTCCATACTGTGTTTCTTTGGGTATATATATAAATGAAATGAAGAGACCGAGTGGAGAAGGGGACCTTAAAGGGAGTAGGTGACAAGCATTCCTTCACTAGAGGCAGAAAAACAGAAGGTTCGCAGTAACTGTGATCCTTACCAAATAAAACTTAGAACAGAAATAATAATAGAGAGCGATGAGACAAATGGTGAGCATGTGTGTAGTGCACATGTCACAAACTTGATTCTGGGTCGTTTGATTTTTTTTCAAGAACAAGTCAAAGGTGATTATCTCTCTAAAGTGATTGAATTAATTTGATTATTAGAGGAGAATCTATAGTATCACGGTGAGCCATACTATAAAGTTAATATATTTATTTCATTAAAGGATAAAAATATATATATAATTTAATAAATTTATTTACAGAGATTTACTTATTTAACCAAATTTTAGGGTTTTGTATTGAACCACTTTCTTTTTTGCAATTTATGGTCGCTACTTGAGTTGTATTTTATTTTCACTCTGCCCTTATCTTAATTGCTTAATGACACAAACATCCTTCATTAACAAACTCCCCCAATAAAAAAAAAAAAAAAAATCGATACTTTAACCCCTAAGGTTGCCCTTATTTGCTTAATGACACAAACATCCTTCATTTATTAAGTATTTTTGGTCCCCTTATTTGTTAAAATTGATACTTGATACTTTAACCCCTAAGGGTGCATTTAGTTTGGGAAAAGTTATATTACTGGGAATGTTATATCAATGAAAAGACAGATTACTTTGAAGATTGTTGAGAATATTTAAGGAAATGTGTTTGGTTAAGTTGAAATAAATTAGTATATATGTTATATAGATTACTAAATTGCCATCATTTTTAATATTAATATAATATTATTTTTATTATTATTGTTTAAATCATTTCTTTTAATCCCATACATTTAAGATTTTACTAAAACACCTTAGCTATATAAAAGTTTAATTTCTAACAAAATCACCCCCATCCACCCCAAGCATGTCATTCCGGACACGTCGACCGACGATGGCTGGTGGTGGTTGCTAGCAGGTGGTGGTGGTCTTGGGTGACCTGCAATTTGTTTTAAATACAAGAACATTGCAGTCCAAAAACTTAATTAATTATGGGTAAAGTTGTAATGACAGGTTCATATAAATTAATTTCAAAATAAGGGTATTATTATCCAAATTTTTTTTATTAATAATGGATTAAATTATAACAAAATTAAAATTACCAAAAATTCTTAAAATACCTAAGAAAATGAAGGTAATCAAATTACACATATATTATCAACAATAATTACAATTGGTTTTAAAAAATTATCAAAATTTTATATTACTTAACAACCAAACATGATAAATATCTAATAATACAAGATGACATTATCTCAGTAATCTTAAAAAAAAAAAAAAAAAAAAAACCAACCAAACACCCCTTAAAGGCCAACTTCCTAAATTCATTGGTTGAACATTGCACTTGGACCTCGGAAAGATTCCCGACTCCATCACTATTCATATGTTTTACAAAATATTAAAATATGATAAGTGTGTTAGACTAATATAGTTTTATGATAGCTCAAATGAATATTTATGGTAAAACAAAATTGAATTGAAATATTATGATTTTTTTTTTAAATGAATAAACTAAAGCTTCAGACCAGTGCAGAGTCAAGAAATTCATATTGGGGGCCAAATGACATTCAATGATTGATGGGGCCAGAAAAGTTTCATTTATGGGGGCCAAGGTTTTCAGTTTTGAAACAGAGGGGGCAAAAATTAATTGAAAGGACTAAATTGATAGATTTTTATACAAGTTTTTAAGAAGTTCCAGAGGCTGGAAGTGGCCATGGCGCCTAAATATAGCTCTATAGGCTCGGGGAGAACAAATATAATATTGTAATAATATCTAAAATCTCTTAAAATAAGGAAATGTAATATTGTTTCATAATTAAAGAAACATATTATTTGTATTCCATTTTGCACTTCAACGGTTGGTATCCAAAACTCTGAGCTTTAAATATTTGACATTTAAAACTTTAGTTCTAGTATCATTTCGATTTTAAAACTTCACGTTTTATTTGACATTTAGGATTTCATGTCCATAAATTTCCGTAATTTTGCAAACTTCAAGTTGTAAATGGGATACGGTTAAAATTATAATTTGAAAAGATACATGCATCAATTATTATAAACTAAACTTATTTTCTGATATAGAAGGTCCAATTTAATATTGCAAACCATAGAGCATACTCATAAGGATAGTTATAATAAATAATATGTATAAATTAAACTCATATAATAAGTTAAACATTTAATAAAAATATTGTAGAAACTAAAAACGTACCCAAACTATTCGTGCTGATAACTTGTTATGTAATAATTATAAAAATATACTCATTAAGGATAGTTTTGTTTTTTTTTTTTTTTTTTTTTTTTTTTTTTTTTTTTTTTTTTTAATGGGGTTTTTGATTGATAAAGGTTCATCTGGAGAAAAGGAGATAACAAAGGGAAGTATTGGAGATGTTTTTTTTTTTTTTTGTTATGATATCACTTATGTACTCTTTTATACAAAATACGAAAATATATTGAAGCTATTGTAAAAAAACTACTCATTCCATGAACATACAACTTATAAGACAACAAGTCGTTCGTATGAATTTTGAGTTATTAGTTATAACTACGTAATGGGATCAAATGTTTGGGCCGTGGAGAAAAAAAAAAGATTTTGATGAATATTATTTCATTTTGAAGTTTTAAAAAGATCAAAATACTTCACCCATCAAAAAAATATTGGAAGAAGATAAATTTTAAAGTGGGTAGAGGCTATGGTTTGGGTGCTTTTAATTGACTTGAAATGGAAGAGGAAAATTTTATAAATTCTAGTATAACACTTCTTTTTGGGGAAATATCCGATTGATACATTTTTTGAAAATATTTAGGGTGTGTTTGTTTTAGTATATTGAGTAATATTTTTTAAATATTAATAGTAGGTAGAGTTTGGTGATTATTACGAGATAAAATTTAAAAATTAACAAAAAAACTTCATAGGTTTGCTAATTTAACTAAACACTCCAATATATAAATTTTGACAAAATAATAAAAACACCCCCACCGACCCATAGTCGCCAGATTCCGACCACCATTGTCGAAATCTGGCGTTACGGCGCACGACTGGTTGGATCTGGCCAATCATGTGTCGATCTAGCCTTCTCTGGTCAGATCGACGCATTACTGGCCAGTAGTGTGTCGTTGTGACAGATCCTGACCATCACTAGTGGTGGTTGTCGAAATCTGGCAACTATGTGTGGGTGGGGGTGTTTTTTTGTTAATTTATAATTTTTTATGTGTTTTTGTCAATTAACAAACCTAGGGGGTTTAAAAATTGTTTCTTAATTTAGGATATGATTTTGAAAACAGAGCATTTATATTTGAAATAGGGATAGGATAGTGGTGAAATAACAAAACAAACGAAGCTGATTATTTTTTAACCACCAATATTTGTTAATTTTGCTAAACACCCCCTCTCCTCAAATAATAAAGGTTTATAAATTAACAAAAATACTTCCACCCACCCAACTGATTATCGGCAGCTAGCCACCATCGTCGGATGGTGGTCGAAAGTGATCGGAATAATGCACGATTAGTTGGATTTGGCCGGTATCGCCTAGATCTTGTCGATCATGTGTCGTTTTGACAGTGGCGGCGAGCGGTGGTCGCTAGGGGCAACTATTGCTTGGGTGGGTGGGGGTGTTTTTGTTAATTTTTAAACTTTTATTGAGAAAAATATTTGTTAAATGTCTCTATTTTTTAGGATATAATAGTAGAATAGGATAGGGTTGAAAAAGTTAAACAAATTGGGGAATGTTTTGTAAGGATAATATTGTCAAATTAGAAAAACTTTATTATTGAGGCTGGAAAAGACATTTATTTGGGGCTATTTAGTGTCAACCAATTCCTGAGTCCTAACCCACGATATGAAACTTGATAGCCCACGGCCCTTAATAAAGTCAGGCAAGCCTCCCACGTACGACCTTCACAGACACGCACACTTAACACATACACACCACTTCTCCCTTCCCGCCATAAACACTCCCAATTCCAGGCTAATCGTACTCGCGCACTCTCTGTACTTTCCTTCTAAATTTTTAGGGCTTCCGAGGAAAAAATAAAAATAAAAAGAAGTAAAAAATTCTGGTGATACCAAGCCATGAGTGATTCGAGGGTTTACCCCGAATCATCTTACAGCTTCCAGCAATCCGGAGCGGGTATAATAACCCGGATACGATTAGAGAATTTCATGTGCCACAGTAGCCTCCAAATCGAGCTTGGCGAGTGGGTCAATTTCATCACCGGTCAAAACGGAAGTACTGTCTCTCTCTCCCCAATGTATATTTATATTGTTTATCGAGTAGTGATTTTGGTGCTTTTTGGTTTTGTTTATAGAATTTTTAAGAGAAATTTGTTTTAGTTAATGGATAACACGACATGTCGTTTGCTTTGTTGTGTTTACAGGTGGTAAAAGTGCTATATTAACTGCTCTATGTATTGCGTTCGGATGCCGAGCAAAAGGGACTCAAAGGGCTTCTACTTTGAAGGATTTTATCAAAACTGGTTGCAGGTTTGAAGAGTTTAGTCGAAATAACCGATGGCTATATGTTGTGGAAAATGTTTAAATGTGTTTTGTTTTAATCCAGCTATGCTTTGGTTCAAGTTGAATTAAAAAATCAAGGAGGCGATGCATTTAAGCCAGAAATTTATGGTCCTTCCATCACTATAGAGCGCAGGATTACTGAATCTAGCGGCACCACTGTTTTAAAGGATCACCAAGGTTTAAATCATATGCTTGTTTTTATGTTTATGTTTTACCTTTGTTGCTTTATCTTAATTTAAAGTTTGTTTTCAGTAGCCTGGTTTGGTTCTCTTCTAGTGCTGGATGAATGATGTGAGGTTGTGGTGTTTCA